CCAAATAAAGCTCTAACCTGCACTGGCCTTCTTCTTGGTGGGAAGTGCATCCCCTGCTGGGTGTCTGAGCTGCATCGCCAGAGGGGCCTGCTCAGGGCTCCTGCACGCTCTGGGGGCCACCCAGGACCCTGTAAGAGGTGAGGTGGCCCAGGGCGAGCAGCCCAGGTGTGACCCGGAGCCCACACGGGCTGTGCTGCTGCCTGGCTGGTAGGGACCAGGCCCAGGTCTTGGGCTTCAGCTGACAGGCCGGCCTGCCCCCTCCAGGCCTCCAGGAGCCCGGGCTCAGCCTCTGGAAGGGTGTGGCCCACAGTCTGCCTGGGCCAAGGCAGGGCCCTTCGTCGGCCTCAGTCAGAACGGGGCTGCAGACGCCCGCTGACCCGCCCCTGGGTGCCAGACTCCTGCCAGCCCCACCCCACCCAGAGCAGCCCCTCAACCACCTAATGGGGGGGGACATCAGAGGCAGAAAAGGCCGGTCCCCAGCCCAGCAGACAGCAGCCCCTCGCTGGCCCAGGCCTGCCCAGATGGAGGTGTCACCCCTGGCTCCACACGGGAGACCCACGACCTCCCAGGCAGCTGTCTGGAGTAAGGGAGGCGGCAGAGGCCTCGCACCCGGGGCTCCTGCTGGAAGGACGTCTGAGTCCTGGGCCGAGCTCGGCAGCGCGGCCTCCTGGGACCGTGGTCGGCCTGCTGGCTTTGTTGCCTGGGTTGTTAGTGGTTGTCAAATAAGTTAATTAGAATCGGTGACACTTCCCTGTGTAGAGCTCTCGGCGGTTCAGCGGCCTGAGTTTCGCTGCCTCTGCTCTGTCTCCTTCCTTCTCCTGGCTGCACAGTCAGATGTGACCCCAAATTATGAGGAGCTCGGGGAGCTGAGCAGACAGCCGCCCGCCCGCCCTGCAGCCTCACCTGCGCACTCGCTGCGACTCGATGTCCAACAAGCTCGGCTCCGCAGGCACCTAGCGGCCGTGAGCGCGTGGCGGGGCCCTGGGCGGCTCCCGCCGTGTTTCCGAGGCTCCGCAGAGCAGCGGGGTCGGGGGGACTGCACACCCACTGTGTCACTTGGTTCCGAGTTCTCCACCACGGGCACAGGGCACACGTGTCCGCAGACGCTGCGCGGCACTGCAGCACCCATGGCTGCTGGATCTCTCCCGTGATGCACGCAGACCGTTGTGTCCGTTCCCTATGCCTGGGGGTCTGTTCCTCCCCAGCAACACCCCACCTGCTCAGCCACAGGAACGGCGGGAGAATGGGCGAGAGGTGGTGGCATTTGCCGCTCTGCCTGCTGGCTGTCCGCGGTGCCGTTTCCACGCTGGCTCAACAGGAAAGCCCACACCTCGCAGATTCATCGGGTCCTCAGGGCTGCACCCTTTCCAGGGGCCGCTTCCGAGGGCGAGGTCTCGGCTCCCCTCCTGGCCACTGACCACGGAGGACACAGGACCAGTCTGCTCAGGCTGCCCAGAGGCGCAGCGGTAGGTCGTCACCTCTTCTGCACCAGCTCCCGGACCCTCTGGCGTCCCTTGAGCGGCGAGGGCCCCTGATGATCCCTTATCCCAGGACAGGAAACGGGGGAAGTCCCGGCCCAAGGCCCTGATGTAAGTGCTCAGAGCTCACACCGAGTGCACAGCGGCCTGGGCTCCACACCTGCCCCCACTTCCTGCTCTGAAAGGCACAGGCACCGGGTTAGGGAACTGTAGTCTGAGGGGTGCCTGTGCCCCGAATTCATGTGTTGACATCCTAACCCCCACGTGGGGTGATGAGGTCATGGGGTGGAGCCCTGCGGAGTGGGATCAGTGTGCTAATAGAGACCCCACAGACCCCTCACCCCTTCTGCACGTGAGGACACAGCAAGATGATGTCTATGAACCGGAAGTGGACCTCAGACACCAATCTGCTGGTCCCTTGACCTCGGGACCCGGCCCCCTCCCCAGCCTCCAGGACTGTGAGAAGTTTCTGTTCTTTAAGCCGCCAGTTTACGGCATTTTGTCGTGGCAGCGAACGGTCTAAGACGGAAACTTGGCCCCTGAGCACCCCTGACTTCTCCTCCCGGGTCTCCCATCTGGATAGTCCGGTTGAACCAGGAGGAAAGCCGCTGGCAGAGTGTGCCCGGCCTGTGGCCCCTGGACCCACAGACACGGAGGCCAATACTTTGTTGTGGTACAAACCCAGCCGAGGAGGGGAGACGCCGGCAGCTCTCCCGGGGAGGAAAGAGGTGCTGTCCCACCCGCGATGCCTCCACTCGGCTGCAGGGAAGGGCCGAGGCCCTGGTCAGCGGAGGACGGACAGGCAGACCCAGAGGTGGGAGGCACGGTCTGGTGCAGTTTCACTACAAGGACTTCTCTTGGTTACACAGACACACACACACATACACCCACCCACCCACACACACCAAAGCAGGCCCCTGACACTGTCCTGTTAGCTGGGGCAGGCGCATTTCGGCTACAGCTGGCATCTGACTCCAAGTTTCAGAAATGATATTAAGAACAAGAATTTTGTATTTTCTTCCCATAAACAAAAGAGTAACAATAACCCAACGTTTTGACCCTGGACTCTGGTGGAGGATGTATCTGACGCGAAGTTCTCGGTGGAATCGTCCCTCGAAGCCGCCCACTGCCGGCTGTGCTGCTGCCCTCGCCGCTCCCCTCGCCCCAAGTCCCCTCGCCCAAGCGCCACCCACCCTCAGATAGGGCGCCCACTGCAGTGCCAGGGAGGCCAGGACCACGGGGAGCAGGGCGGCTGCCCCTGCTAGATGGCGAGGCATCAGCAGCTGCCCTGGGGCCACAGGTTTGCTGGTGACAGTTCTGGGCAGTGGGGGCTGGGGGTGGGGAATGGGGGT